GGGAGTGGTCTTCGGGGGGGGGGGTACAGGTCCCCAATGGTGGGAAGGCCTGCCAGCCCCTTATCCCGGCCTTCTGCAGCTGGCGGCCCCCGGCATCGCATCCTGTCCGACGGGGCTCTGCAGCTATGGAATGTGACCCGCTCCGACGACGGCTTCTATCAGCTCCACTGCCAGAACGCAGAGGGCACCGCAGAAGCTCTGGTGCGGCTGGACGTGCATTGTGAGCCTGCGCAGAGCTGAGGGAAACCAGGGTCTCTAGGAGTCCCACCTGCATTGGAAGCCACACCCACCCAAGGAAGCTTGCCCACTGTGGGGTCTCCTCCACGTAGAAACTCTACCCACCCAGGATAAGCACTCATCCTAAAACCCTCCTACCGTGGAACCCTGGTCACTAGAGAGACCCAATGTAGAATCTCTACCCAGAAAGGGGACCCACCTTCAGGATACCAAATCCACTGTGGAAGCCCTACCCTTACATGATTCCAGCACGTCCAACAGTTAGTACAGAGGCATGGTAGAGGATGGGAACAACCTCACTAACCCTGAGAATCACTAAGAACTCTCCTGCAAGTGCTCCACACAAAGGGCAAACTGTGTCTGTACTCCTAAGTTTTCTGGTCACCTGTAGGACACCTCTCCTACCTAGAACCCTCTCCCACCATGGCATGTCTGGGCCCAAGTGCCTTTCCCAATTCCCCATTTCCCCACAGATGCTCCCACCATCCGTGCCCTCCAGGACCCTACTGAAGTGGATGTTGGGGGTTCTGTGGACATAGTTTGCACCGCCGATGCCAATCCCATCCTCCCAAACATGTTCAACTGGGAGAGACTGGTGAGGACCCAGGCTTTGGTAAATGAAGGAGGGGGAAGGGGTGTGAATTTTTTGAAGGTAAGGTCCTTGGGAGTGGGAGCCACATCTGTGTGACCCTGTATAACTATATATTCATTGGTGTAAGCCCTAGGTACAAGTAACTCTTTGTTGAATGGCAGATGAATTGTTGGATGAGTGAATAGTTAGGTGAGTGTGTAGATGGATGGATAGATGGGTAGATAGGTAGATGGGTGGATGAAAGAGTGAAGTGAAGGACGACGTGAAAGTGAAAAGACGGGTGGATGATTGGATGAAAGCAATGAGTGGATAGACAGATCAGATTAGAGGGTAGATGAGTGGATAGATACACCATCAGTAGAAACATGTCTGGAAGGAAGACGGTTAGATCAAGGAATGGATAGATCTGTGGAGTTAAGGATAAACAAGCAGCTGGATAAAAGGCTGAACAGATGCATGTATTTGTGAGTGTGTGCATGTAGGAGTGAATATATGGGTGAATGGGTGGGGAGTTGCAAGAATGGATATATGGGTGCATAGAAACAAGACAAATGATTGGATGAATGAATGACAAGTAGAAAGATAAGTGGATGAATAGATAGATAGATAGACAGATAGATAGATAGATTTTTTAAATGGTGCCTCACTCATACTAAGGAAACTCTCTACCACTAAGCTACATACTCAGCCTATAAATGGTTGAATGAATGCGTGAGCTGATGTATGCATGGGTAGGTAGACTGTTCAAGTCATGAATGATTAGATAAATGAATGGGTGAGTGACTGATTGGTGGAGGAATGGCTGAATTGAATAAGTGGTTGGATGATTGACAGGAGAAAGTTTTACTTTAATAGGTCTTTGGGGGTGATTGTAGCTGGGAGAGTGAGGCTACAAATGGGACATAGTTTGGGGGACAATGGGATCTCAGGCCAGATTAGGGGCCAATTCTCAGTCTCGCATCTCCAGGGGGAAGATGAGGAGGACCAGAGCCTGGATGACATGGAGACAATGTCAAAGGGGTCCACAGGGCGTCTGCGGATTCACCATGCCAAACTGGCCCAGGCGGGTGCTTACCAGTGCATTGTGGACAATGGAGTGGCACCTCCAGCCCGAGGCCTGGTCCGTCTTATTGTCAGATGTGAGTAACACCCAAACCCCAGACTTTAGGCCGTCCAGTAAACCCACTTCTTTCACGTCTTCCCACATGCTTCATGTTGACCACTCCCAACCTGTCTTAGTTGCCCCCCAGGTGGAGCATCCCACTCCTCTAACTAAAGTGGCTGCAGCTGGGGACAGCACCAGTTCTGCCACCCTCCACTGCCGGGCCCGTGGTGTCCCCAACATTGTCTTCACTTGGACCAAAAATGGAGTCCCGCTGGATCGTGAAGATCCCAGGTGAGCCTGGGCCTCAGCCAGGCCACGTTCCAGCCCAAACTCTGGTCCCCCAGCCCCAGTTCCCTTCTCTGAGTGTGCCACGTCTCTCCAGGTACACTGAGCACGTATACCACCAGGGTGGAGTCCATAGCAGTCTCCTGACCATTGCCAATGTGTCTGCAGCCCAGGATTATGCCCTCTTCACATGCACAGCCACAAACCCGCTTGGCTCGGACCACACCAACATTCAGCTCGTCAGCATTAGTACGATGGATGGGGCCTGGGAGGGTGTTGGGGGGCACCCCATGGATCAACTCCCAAGTCCCTAGTTGGCCCCAGCCTCGAAGTGTTCCTGACACCTGAGAGATGTTTATGAATGAAGAGGGAGTTTTTACCTGCCCTGAAAAGATGGGGTAGGGGACTTATTGGCTCAAGCAACTGAAAAGTGGGTCTTGAAGACTTGTTGAATCTAGGGGTAGCTGTCATCAGGAACTTCTGCATATTTCTTAGGTTGGCTTTTCTTTGTGTTGGCTTTAAGCCTCCTCACAGTGGCCTATTAGAAATTTTAGAGGAATTCTTCCTGTTCCTAACAGGTGTGTGAGAATTCTAGAATTAAATTTCATTGGCTTTGTTTGGATTCCAGTTCATCCCTGAAACAAGCATCTGGTGGTGGGGGGCAACACTCTGATTGGTCAGGACTGGTCACATGTCCATCCTACTAGGACTGGGGTTACTTCCATCACAAACACATGGCCTGAGGATGTGGAGGATGGTTCTCCAAAGGTAATGCAAGGTGTTAATAACTAGAAGAAATGAAGAGAATGGATGTGACATTGGCATATGCACAAAAATCCACTGCAAGGAAATATACATAATATATAGTCTATCCTCATTTTTTTTTCAAATTCACACATTTGCTAAAATTTATTTGTAATCTCCAGACCAATACTAATGGGGCTCCTGTGGTCACTCAGAGACCTGTACAGAGGGATGGATAGTTTTGAATCACCTGGTGTGCATGTTTTTAGCTGAGGCCAAACAAGATGCCACTCTTCCTTCCTGTTCCAGGTCTCATACATAAAACAAATGTCCTTTCGCTGGTTTATTTAGTGGCCCTTTTTCACATTTTTGTATTTTTTGTTGGTGCTTTTTCTGCACTCCCAAGCACAAAGCTGATATGCTGTCTAGCATCCTAAGTGCAATAAGGTGCCTTCCAGAAAAATACAGTTGTTACACAAGTCTCATTCAGGCTCAAGCTGTTAAACACGTCATGAGTTCAATGCAAGTGAGTCAACAGTATATGCTAAAGAAGATATCTTTAACAGAAACACACTCAAAACAAGATCTGTATTGATTGGTTGATGAAAATGCTGTAGGAGAGAGGTCTGAAAGGTCCTGACCCTGAGTTTCCCCTAGAAATGAGTTTGGTATTTGCTAATTCAGCACTCATGGTGACCTTATTTAACATAATGACCATGAATACTTAGAATCAACTCAGTTATTTATTTATTCAGTGTAATACTGGGTACTAAACTCAGGACCTTTGCCCACAGCTATATCCCTGCCCTTTTTATTTTTAAATTTGAGACAGTGTCTCACTAATCGGTAAGTTGCCTGGGCTGAATTTGAACTTGTGATCTCCCTGCCTCACCCTCCCAGAGCACTGTGATGATAGGCGAACAACACCAGACTTGGCCCAAATCAACTGTGTGTTTAAATCATTCTTAGTAAAAGCCTGGATGAAACCTTCTTTTTGTATCCTCCGACTTTCTCCCATACTTGTGCCCAAAGGCCGCCCTGACCCACCACTGGGATTGAAGGTTGTGAGCCTGACTCCCTACTCAGCGGGACTGGAGTGGAAACATGGATTTGATGGGGGTTTGCCACAGAGGTTCCGCATCAGGTGAGTCACTGTCAAGGCAAGTGAGGGGTGTCGGCCTGTGGGCTGAACTGACTCCTCTCTGTCATGTAGGTATGAGGCCCTGGAGACTCCCGGGTTTCTCTACGTGGATGTCCTACCACCTCAGGCCACCACCTTCACACTGACTGAACTGCAGCCTTCTACACGATACAGAGTCTGGCTGCTGGCTAGCAATGCCTTGGGGGACAGCGGATTAGCTGCTGAGGGGACCCAGGTCTCCATCACCACCCCAGGTGGGAAGGGAAAATGCTGGGCAGATTGGGGACTTGTAGGGTGGTGTAGTGAAGTGGATACTATTGTTTTTTCCCCTTTTACAGATGAAGCAACGGAAATCCAGAGAATTTAAGTAAATGCTCAATGTTACACAGCTAGGAAGAGGTGGAGATAAGATTGAAACTCAGGTAGATAAGCTCCAGAGACTAGCTTTTAGCCACTGTCCTGTCTTGTCTGATTATGATTACTGACCAAAGGAAATTAGAAAATAATTTGAATTCAGCTGGGATGTAGCTCAGCAGGGCAGCACCTACCTGGCAAGCAAGAGGCCCTAAGTTTGATTCCCGGCATAAAAAGAGAGAGAGAAAAAAAAAAAAGAACAGGAAAAAGAAAGAGAAAATAGTTTATTCAGAATGAAAATGAAAACAAAGAAATTTAGAGAGTGCAGCTAAAGCAGTGTTTAGAGGGAAATACATAGCATTAAGTATTTACATTAGATTTGAAAAAGAAAGGCCTCAAATAAACATAAGTTTTCATCTTAATCTAGAAAGAGGAGCAAATTAAATCCAAAGCAAACAGAAGAAATGAAACGAGAAAGAGCAGACGTTAGTAGACAAGAAGGCGTAATGAGTGAAAACTGCAAACTGGGTCTTTGAAAAGATCAATAAAATTTATAAAACTGATCAAAATCGAAGAGAGACACAACTTACCAATATCAGAAATGAGAGAGGAGACATCATTACTGGCCCTGCAGGCGTGAGGAGGTTATTCTGGAAACATTATGAATAACAATTTCAGCCGGTCTTATGAAACGGACAAGTTCCTCGAACACAACTAAAGAGTATTTTGTGATTCTGAGGGGAGCTGAGGTGGAGCAGTTAATCGTCCAAGGCCTGTTTCTGAGCAGTCTGGGTTTCTGTCTCTGCCACCCCTCAACACTTTCTAGTTTTGTGGCCTCAGGCAAGTGCCTCAGTTTCCGCCAAGAAGATATCTGACAGGGCTCCTCTCTGCCCCTGCTTCTGAAAGCAAGGTTCATCTCGGAGAATCCTGAGGTTGAAATGATTTAATGTATCTAAAGTGCTCTTAAATGGAGTTAGTCCAAGTGAATATGCAAATGCTGACTTAAAGACATGCCTCTTGTTCCCCCTCTGTTTCCTTTGCCTGTGAAAGCTCCCCCTTTTTTGTCTGGAGGAACAGCCCAGTGGAGCAGCCTTTTTTGCATGGAAGTAAACCCTTCCTACAATCTTCCCTTTTGCTTTTCTTTTTTCCCTTTTCATTCCAGTCTTGCCTTTTAGCACTAGGCTATAAAGTACAACATTCACCTCACCTCCCTTGCTCTAAAATTTGTACCTCTGTTAAGGAATCCTGAGAGTCCATCTTTTTGGTTGTTGTTAACGCAACAAATTGATAATGCAAATTAAAGGACCTTCAACACATCATAAAACACTCAATAATAATTCAACGTCATCATTATTATTGACACTTAAATTGCTATTAATAGTATTGCTATTATCATCAGTAATTTCCATCTATCTTTGAAACATTCCTTTGAAATAAGAAGCCACACAAGCTAGTTCCCATGAGTCTCTAAGCTGAAAATTTTAATAAGAGGCTAAGAAATACTTAAGGCTTTTATCTCAGATTCTTAGAATTAACTCACAATCTCTGTATCCATCCCCCAGGCCTGGACCAGCCTTCTGGAGAACCTGATGACCAGCTGCCTACAGAGCAGCCTGCAGGCAAGTCCTCAGTCCTCTGAGTCCTGTGCCCTCCTCTGAGTGGAACATTCTGGTCACTTATGCCATCTCTGATTCCTTGTTGGTTGCAGTTCCTTAAGACTCAGTCCTGTCCTTGCAGACTGTCGCTTTTATCCTTTACTCTTTCTCTTGCCTAGAGTGATACATTCTCTTGCTTTCTGATTCAGTTTAGTTCTGAAACAATTAGCTGAGTTCACACTCTGGGAGGAGGCTGTATCAGTTAGCTTTAGCTGCATAACAAGCCACCCCCAAACACAAGTGCTTATAGAAAAACCCATATTACTTCCCATGATTCTTTGGGCCCAGCAGAACAATTCTGGTCTGGGCTGGTTTGAATAATCCTTTACAGTCAGCTCGCAAGTGGACTTGGTCGTGTGTCTGACAGTCATCTGGCTCTTAATTGGGACATTGGAGATAATGGCCGTGTGCCTCTTCTTGGTTTGTTCACATGGAAGTGGTCACAGGTGTACAAGCACTGCAAGGAGGGACAAGGTGCAGCTTAGTAGCATGTTCCAATGGTCTGATTCTGCCACATTTTCTGTTGTCCCACATGGCTCAATGAAGTCAGTGTGGAAGAGGATGATCCAAGTGGATACAGGAGGAGAAATGTGGCCATTTGGTGGAAGGCTCCTCCAGAGTTTAAGAGGAAGATGGCAAATGACAGGAATTCAGCACTAAATTTGTTGGCACTTAAAATAATTGCTTGGTTAATGAAATAGAAAATTCCAGGTGTGCCTGGATTTAGGTGCTCAAAATGCTCACCAGCAATCTGTTTCTCACATCTCTCAGCTTGACTTTCATCTCCGGTAGCAGCCGTGGTGGCACGCGCCTATAATTTAAGCACTCTAGGAGGCTGAGGCAGGAGGATTGCAAGTTTGAGCCCAGCCTGGACAACTTAGCAACTTAGAAAGATCCTGTCCAAAAATTAAAAAAAAAATTTTAAAGTCTTGGGATGTAGCTCAATGTGGAAGACCTGGGTTCAATCCCTAGCAAGGGGAATGGGGAGAAGCCCTCCTACACTGCCAGCTTTCATTCCGCTTAGCAGCCTGAAGAAGTATCCTAATTGCTGTGTCAAAAAGGCATCTTGGGTCAAAGCCAGTCTCTGAACCAAAGGAAATGGAGATGGGCCATATCAGCCAGGCTAGGCTATGTACCCATCAAGGAGCCCTGCGTGGGCCATAGGGACTGGGAGCAGGGAAGTGGCTGTTTCCCAAAGGAAAATAAATGCTGTTAGCACCAGAAACAACTGGATGCCAAGCAGATGTTTACTTAGGAGGTCTCTGTTCTTGGAGATGTGGTAGCCTGATACTGGTGGGGGGGAAAGTTGGTTGAAACAAGTCCCTTGCTATGGAATCTGCAGGGTGACCGGAAGTGCACTTGAGAGGAAACAGCACTGAGGCCAGATGCTTAATTATTCTAAGGCTCAGAGGTACAAATTTGCTTCAGTGATTCTGGAAACTGCTGCTGGTTAGTTTGTGTGGGTCGGTGATTGGTGGGTAAGGCTGGAGCTACATAGCCACTGCTCAGGAAAGGAGCCACTTCCTTTGAGGTGACAAAAAGCGGTGCGGATGGAGATTCCCACTCATTTACTTTTTCACTTTGAAGAAGAGGGTTTGGTTAGTAGGCACAATTTCTCTTTCATTTCACTACTAGAGATTGAATACAGTGAGCTACATTTCCAGACCATTTATTTATTTATTTTTAAGTACTGAACACCAGACCCGGGGCCTTCACACTAAAGTATATAACCAACCCTTTTAAAATATTTTTATTGAGACAGAATCTCTCTAGGTTGCTCAGGTTGGGTTTGAGTTTTGCTCCTCCTGCCTCAGCCTCCCAAAGTGTTGGGGATTATATGTGTGTGTTGCCATGCCTGCCTGCTCTTTTTATTTTTATTTTGAGACAGGGTCTTACTACTTTGCCCAGGCTGACTTCCAACTTGTAATCTTCTTGCCTCAGCCTCTCAAATAGCTGGGATCACAGGCATGAACTACCACACCCAGCCAGGGATGGGCTTTCTTAAGAGTCAGGGCAAGGTCCTGAGTTTGATGTCTGGTACCAAAAATTTAAAATAAGATAGAATAAAAAATAGTCTGCTCCAGGCATAGAGCCCATTGGTTGGGGTCACTGAGGGGCATCCTCCCTCCAGAACCCCCAGGACTCCCCCTGCTGCCTGTGCTGTTTGCAGTCGGGGGTCTTCTGCTGCTTTCGAATGCCTCATGTTTTGGGGGTTTCCTCTGGTGGCGAAGACTGAAGCACCCTGCTCAGGGTAAGTAGAGACCTCCTTCCTGATGGGATAGAGACCCTCACACTATTGCACAGTGAGAGTTTCTCCAGGGCCAGGGGAGCTGGGACAGGGTGGGCTGTGACCCTTTCCCTCTTTCTCTCAGGTATCTCAGAGAAGACAGAGACAGGGTAAGTGAGCATGTTTTTGGTAAATAAGACTCTGAGGGAAGAGGTCAGGGGTGACAAGTGGCAGGAAGTCAACTGCAATCTCTATCGTGGAAGGTCGGAGGAGGACCGAGTCAGGAATGAATATGAGGAAAGCCAGTGGACTGGGGACCAGGACACTCGAAGTTCCACGGTGAGAGGGGTGGCCCAGACAACCTCACTGACAGGGAGTGACAGATTCCACCAATAGCTTCAGGGTAATCATTTTCCTTTTCTGGATCCGTGGGGAAAGACTTAACTTGTTTTTCTGTGGGCTTGCACATGTGACAGGTTAGCACAACAGAAGTTGAACCATATTACCACTCTTTGAGGGACTTCAGCCCCCAGCTGCCCTCCACACTGGAGGAAGTGGAGTATACCCCAGGTGAGTTGTGAAGAATCAAGACTTCTGAATCTCAAGGTACCCCTGCCATATAGGCTGGGTGCCCTGATTCTACAACTTCCTACCACAACTCCAGGCTTCACAGGTCTTGAAGTAGAGGATGTGGCCTTCCCTGCACACCTGTATGATGAGGTGGAGAGAATGTATGCCCCACCAGGGGCCTGGGGACCCCTTTATGATGAAGTGCGGATGGTGAGCAGATTTGTGTCACCACCCTGTCTAGGCTGGTGGCCCACTATATGCTATTGTATTAGGGTAAGTTAGCTGCTGTGACAAAGGGGCCTGCTTAATCCAGGGCCTAGAGAGAACAGTCTGTTTCTTTCTTACATAGCTATCAAAGGTGAGCCCTGCTATATGTGGTTATTTGAAACCTAAGTTCTTTTCATTGTGTTCCTTTGCTATCTCTTACCACATCCATTGGCCTGGTTTATGTGGATGGGCAGATTCACTGAAGGTTTCAGCTGGAGGGAAAGAGGAAAAGAGAATGTGGTAGAGGCACAACCCAGCCTTACAGCCCAGGCCCAGAAGAAGTACATACCCATCAGTGAAAACATGGTCACATGGCCCCCACCTAACCGCAAAGGAGGCTGGGAAATGTAGTCTTACTTGACAACTACATGCCTTACTACAGTTCTGTTCTTATGGAAAAAAAAAAGAGGACACATTTCCTTGGAGACTTAGCCATCTCCAGAACCCTGGTTAAGAAGGTAGCAAGAAAAAGAATTTTTTTGTCTACTCAGTTGGAAAGTTAAGAGAAATAGTTGTCTTTAGGGTCAGCTGGACACAGAATTTCTTCCCTAAAGATTTCCCAGCAAGTCCAGCTTGGTATCCTGTTAGGTTAGAAATCTTCAAAGAAATGGAATACCTCTTTCTCAATAGCTTTAAATGCCCAACACTGACATATTGGTCATATAGTAATTGTTGAGCCAGTCATCAAAATAGGGAATAGTAGCTGAGTGTGGTGGCACACACCTGTAATCCAGCACTTGAGAGGCTGATGCAAGAGGATTTCCAGGAGTTTGAAGGCAGCTTGGACTACATAGTGTGCTCAAAGCCAGCCTGAACTATATAGTGAGATCCTGTGTCAAGAAATCAAAAGAGAGAGAGAGAGAGAGAGAGAGAGAGAGATCAAATCAAATCAAAAAAACCAAAAAAGGCAATAGAATATTGCCTTTGGACTGGCTTGGATCAAAGCGCACTCATGGGATAAGAGAATAGTAGCCAGCTTTACTCATTTCACTGGACTGAGAGTGGAAAAAGACAGAGAGCCCAGAGGAAGTACAGATGGTGGCTGGGCACGTGAAAACAGACAGGAACTTTGACTACCCACCCACCCATCGTCTTACAGTAAGGGAGGTGGGATAGAACACCTGATTCCCTATATGGTCTCAGCTAAGGTTTTGGCATGTCTGGATGAAGCAATTCCCTCTATAACAGCATTCCACCCAAGTACACTGTTCTCAAATCATAGCACCACACTGTGAGGCAAATAGCGCCTGCAAACGCTGTCCATGGTGCTGGACCATATGTGCCCTCAAAGGCACAGATGGAGTCTGCAGACTTTTTCTGTACAGGGTCAGAGAGTAAATATTTTGGGCTTATGAGACATATGGTCTTCCTCAAAACTACTAAGCTCTGCCACAGTAGATAAAAGCAGTCATAGCTAATACACAAATTATTAAGTGTGGCTATGTTCCAAAAAAACTTTATCTTTGGAAACTGACATTTGAATTTTATATAATTTTCATATGTCACAAATATTATCCTTCTTTCAATTTTTCTCAACAATTTATAAATATCAAACCATTCTTAGCTCTCAGGAAGTCAAAGAAAAATCAGGCAGCAGGCCATATTTGGCTCGTGGGCCAATCTGCTCTAGTTTGCTGAGCTAAACAACTATTTTCTCCCAGTTCTAGGACAAAGCAACATCCCCAGGGAATACCACCCTTTGTGGCCTTTTCCCTATTCTGTTTTGATGGAAAAACATTCCAGAAATGGACAGAACTAGCAGAATCGTGACTCAATAGCTCATATTACGATCTTTTTAAAGTTTTCATATTCTTGACATTTAAATTATTCTTCTGAGATGAAATCATGGGATATCTTGGATTTACTTGAAAATAATACAGTTGGTGGAAGTGAAGGATGAGGAGACTGAGACTTAGATAAATAAACAGGTGCACCCTTTGGTAGCTTAGCTGGCAGAGCTGAGGACTGTGGATAGATGAACAGGAATTAAAGGTCAGTACTCTTGAGGTTAGGTGATGTGATGAGTACATGGGGCTTCATGAGAAAGACTGATTACTATCACTTTTTTCTCTGTGTATGTTGGATATTTTCCATAATTTAAAGCTAAAACATGTTCCTGGCAAGTTGAACAGGGGAGTGTTTCCTTCAAAGCTGTGATTATGACTCATAGGGCTTTTCTCTGTGGTTCTAACTCCATTTTTCTTCTGTCAGGGCCCCTATGACCTCCACTGGCCCAAGGACAAGTATGAAGGTTCAGGAAGAATCTATGACCAGGTGGCAGGAGATTCAGACTCTCTTCCCTTTGAGCTAAGGGGAGATCTGGTGTGACAGCCTTCTCAGCAGCCCTTTCCTGCACCTACAGGACATAATACTCCAGGGTCTTTTTCATTCCATCCTGGCTTAGCCTGTTAAGTGAGCTGCATGGGACACAAAGGGATAGATTTTTTTCCCAGAGAGGCCATGGGGGAAATGTGTGTAAGTGACAGAAGTTGGTTCAAGCTGTGGTCAGAGTATAAGCAACGTTCTTCCTGGGGTTGGCTTTAATTACTAAACTTCCCCACCATGACAGGGTGACTTGTAAGTGACGTCTCAACAACAACAACAACAAAACTGAGCCAGGTATTGTGCACATACCTATAGTCCCAATACTCTTGAAGGCTGAGACAGAAAGATAGCAAATTTGAGCACAGCCTGGCAACTTAGTAACTTAGAGAGCTCTAGACCCTGTATATAAAAAGGAGGGAGTTGAGGATATAGCTCAGTATAAAGGCCCTGCATTCAGTCTCCAGTACCACAATAAAACCAAAACCAAAACTCAGTTCATTTTGAATTTGATTACATCTGAAATAGCCAATTGTTATGTCCTACATATTTCATTATTTTTACAGTATATAAAACATGCTTATATAAACTATGACATGTATAAATCTAAATAAACTCTATTGAAAGAAGGTAGATGCAAAAATGCATGCTGTATGATTTCATTTATATTTTCTCATTGAGTTTATTGGTACTTTTTAAGTGTACAGTACACTTACATTCATCATTGGGATTGTGACCCTTTACATGACAGATCTTGGTTCTCATTTTTTTCCTCATGCCCCTGCCCTCCCTTTGTATGATTTAATTTATAGACAAAACTAATTTATTGTATTCTTGCTACATAAGAAAGTGCATTATCCTTAGGAAGTATGCACTAGTATATATTAGGGTAAAAGAGCTGAGAAAATGTGTACACTTATACAGGGATAGGAAAGCAAAAAGCAAATGCAGTAGAATGTTTACATCTGGGGGATGGGGATAAATATATATTGCAATTATTTGCATCATTTTTGGAATTGTTCTGTAAGTCTGAATTTATAGCAAAATTAAAATTTAAAAATTATTGTAAAGGTGCATGGCAGTATCATAAAAAGCAATGAGTAGATGTGCTACTGAATCTCAGAAGTTATGCAGTTCTACCTGGCATTTTTCATCTTTCAGTGGTTACATCATATTCTGTCTGCATCCCTCAGCAGATTTCTTCCATTCTCCCCTTGTGCATTCTTCACTTCCTTCCTTGACCCTAATTATCTGTCCAATCCTTGGGTCCCCCTGTCCAATCCTTAGATCCCCCAATTCTGTAGGATCTTGAAGTCCAGCATCACAAAGTCCCTGTTTGGAACATTCCAAATTTCAGATGGGCTAAATCTGCCTGATCTGTGTTGCTTAAGAAAAATAAATCACAGGGATAAATTGGTGCAACCAACTCAAAACTCCATTTGACATGAGTTTTTGAAGTTGAACATTCATATATTCTGTGGTCCAACAATTCCGATCTTACAGTTATGTCTAAGAGAACTTCTTTATATGACCACAGAAGTACCACACACAACAGCAAAAAGCTTAAAGCAACCTAAATGTTTGTTAGCGAGAGAGTGGATGTGTATGTAGTGTGATAGTCACATCATGGCAGCATGAAATATTATACAGCAATCAAAAAGAATGAACCAAATGAATCTTAGCAACATGCAAATGAGAAAAATAAGTCCCCAGAAGTTACATACAACATAATATCTCCCTTACAGTTTTTTTAAAAAAAACCTTTAAACTGCTGCAAGTTCAAGGCCAGCCTGGGCTACCTAGTGGGTTCAAGGCCAGCATGAACTATACAGTGAGACCCTGTCTCAAAAAAAAAACAACTTTAAAGTACTCCTAATAATATATCCAAAGGAAAGAAAGTAAAAAATAAACACACGATTGAAGATGATATTTACCTCTAGAAGGCATGTTGACAGGGAGGATGATATGGTCAGATGTAGGTTGTTGTTAGCTTTAGTTTTGTGCAATGATTTTGCAGGTATTTATTATCAAAACCTAAAACAAGTTAGAAGATTCATATTCTGATTTCAAATCTTCCTGATTTTCAAATCTACAGTAATCAAAAGAGTACAGAACTGGTATAAGGACAGTCATATAAACCAGTGGAATAGAATAGAGTCCAAAAAGAAGCCCTCATTTATAGGCTCAACTTCTTTTAACAATGGAACTAAGACCGTTCCATGGGAAGAGGATAGCTTTTTAACAAACGGTGCTGGGAAAACTAGATAGCCACATGCAGATGAATGTATTTGGACTCTTACCTTATACAGTGGTACCTTGGTTCACAAACAATTTTTCCATAATTCTGGTTGCAGAGAATAAGCTGAGGTATCAATAAGCTGAGTATATATGGTATATATACTAAAATTAACTTAAAACAGGACAAAGATCTAAATGAAAGAGCTAAAAGTATAATATTCTCAGAAGAAAACCAGAAGTCAAACTATTATAACAATGGAATTCGGCTGTTGTTTCTTGGATATGACACCAAAAGGCACAGGTGATAAAGAAAAAAATAGAAAGATTGGCCATCATAAAATTTTTACAGGTTAGTGCATGCCTGTGGTCTCAGCTATTCAGAAGGCTACAGCAGGAGGATCACTTAAGCCCAAGAGTTTGAGGCCAGCCTGAGCAATATAGTGAGTCTGTCTAAAAAGAGGAAAGAAAAGAAAATTTAAAACTTTTGTGACACAATTAGAATGGGAGAAAAATATTTGCAAATCATATAGCTAATAAGTGACTAATATCTACAACATATAGAAAACTCCTAAAACTCAACAATAAAAAGTAAACAAACTGATAAAGTAATGAGCAAAGGATTTGAATAAACATTTCTCCAAAAATACATAAATGGCCCAAAAAGGTGATCACTAATTATTAGAGAACGCAAATCAAAACCACAATGAGATACCACTTCAGATGCATTAAAATGGATACTTTGTTAAAGCAAAGAAACCAGAAAATAACTATTACTAGCAAGAGGTGGAGAAAGTGGGAACTTCATGCACTGTTCAAGGAGATGTAAAATGGTTTAGCTGCTTGTGGAAAAACAGTCTGGCAGTTTCTCGAAAGAGTAAATATAGAATTATCGTTTGATCCACCAGCAACCCCACTTCTGAGTTTAGATCCAAAAGAATTGAAAGCAGGATCTCAAAGAGATGTTTTCATATCCATGTTCAAAGCAGCATTACTCACAATAATGAAAATGTGGAAGAAATTTAATGTCCATCAATGGATGATGGATAAGCAAAATGTAGCATGTGATAGTGCAATCTCATTCAGCCTTAAAGAGGAAGGAAATCCTGTCATGTGCTATAGCACGAATGCACCTTACAGACACCACACTAAATGAAGTAAGCCAGTCACAGCAAGACAAATACTGTGTGTTCCACTTATGTGAGGTACTTGGTAGCCAAAATCATTGTGATACAAGGTACACTAGTGGTTGTCAGAGGCTAGTGAAGGGAGCAATGAGTTATGGTTTCACAGATATAAAGTCATAGTTTTGCAAAGTGTGGTGGTTAAACTTAATTGTGTCAATTTGATCGGTTTTTCCAGGGGATTGGTGGGTATGTTGTGGAGGATTGACCTTGGGGACGATATCTAGCCCCTCGTCCCTTCCTTTCTGGACTTATTCTTCTACTCTGTCTCCCAGCCTCCATGAACTAAGCAGCTTTTTCCACTATGTCCCTCTGAGTGATGTTGCTGCCTTAGACCCAACTGATTATGAACTCAATCCCCCGCAACTGTGAGTCAAATTAAACCTCTTCTTTTCAAATTGTGGGTATTGGGTATTGTGTCTCATTGACAAGAAAGCTGACTAATACACAAGGTGAAAAAGTTTCTAGAAATGGATGGTGGTGATGATTACATAACAATACGAGTATACTAACTATACATTTAGTAATGATTGTAGCTGGATGTGGTGATACATGTCTGTAATCCCAGCACGAAGGAGGTTGAGCTAGGAGAATTGCCTCAAATTTGAGGCCAGCCTGAGCTACATAATGAGTTCAAGACCAACCTAAACTACATAGCAAGACCCTGTCTCAAAAGAAGAAAGAAAGATCAAGATGGTAATTTTTGGTATATTTTACCACAATAAAAATTTGAAAAGAAAACTCCTACTAACTAAACACAAAAGTGGGTCAATCCATTCTGTATTCCTGAAGGCTCAGAAGGAAAACAAAAATTCTCAGGCACAACCATGTGCTGTACAAGTGTAAACTGAGAAGCATCTTGCAAAACAGTTTGGCAGTATCTACTAAATTACATCATAGTGATACTCTATAACCCAATAGTCATATACCCAATAGAGATGCTTATATATGTAAAAAAAAAATACATGAGCTAGAAAATGTATTGGTGCCAGAAACAGGAAACCACCAAAATGTTTACGAAGGAATAGCTAAATTAATTGTATAGTCACCCAGTGGATACTACATGGCAGAGGGGATGAATGAATTACTGACGTACAGAAAAACAGGGAGGAACTCACAAGCATAATAGTTAAGTCAAACAAATCAAACCCAGAGGAGAACATGCTGTATAATTTCATCTGCTCAAAGTTAAAACAGAGTAATATGTGATGTCAGAAGTCAAGAATGGGAAGAAAAGAAGCCAAAAGTGGTTATCTTTGGGGAACAGAGGGATAATCATTAGAGCTGCGGGGAGAGCTCCTGGGGGCTGCACCAGGTAATCACACAGGTGTGGTCACTTTCTGAAAATGTATCACGCTGAACTCACGTTTCTTTATACATCATACTTCATTAAAATTTTACATTATGTTTCATAGAAAGATTGTGGTTGGGACTATGACTTTCTCACATGGTGGACTATAAAATCGTCATTTATATCATAGTTTGGTTTCAAAAAATGCATGCAGCAACCACAAAAGTTTGTGCAAGTTTCCAAAACTCCCATCAGGGGGCGATACCACCCCATTTAAGAGTCTGAGAGTGACCGAATGAGACCCTGAATCAGCAAGGTGTGTACAAGGTGCTGGAGTTCAGCGTAAAGATCTGTGCTGGAGAATAAAACTGCTCAGGGGTGTGCCTTGTGCATGTGAATGGTCATTGAGCCCCGATATTAAAGGATAAGTCGCTGTGCGGGCGTCAATGCAGAGAGGACTCCAGGAGCACAGTGAAGGGAGGCATTTTGCTACAATTACTGGAGAGTAAAGGTCAAGACAGGAAGTGGTAGGAACTGAATGAGACTGGTGAGATGAAGAGAATAAATCTCGAAAGTCATCAAAGAAGGCTGTATTTGATCGGATGATAGGAAGCCATTTGCAACCTCAGTAATAGCGTTTGTGAGCTGTTTCCACATGCCAGTTCGTATTCTAAATTCTTGATATGTATTATTTCCTGGAACCATCAAAATCGCCCATGAGTACAGCTGTGTTTGTCATTCAGTGTCGTTTCTCTCTTTTGAAGGCAACAATGTGTGGAAGGTAGGTCTTTCCTTGCTAAGCCAGCGCCAAGCCCCTCCTCACAGGAGTTGGGCCTCAGATGCGCCTCAGCTACTGGAGCAGGGGTTCACTGGA